CGCCCAACCCCTATAGCAAAAACTTCTCCCCCCAAAAAAAAGAAAAGAAAAGAAAGAAGTTTTATATACCGCTTCCAAGAAGAATAAGCATAACAGAAAGAAGGTTAAGCTGGCTATCCTGAAATACTATGAGGTGGATGAATATGGCAAAATTAGTCGCCTTTGTCAGGAGTGCCCTTCAGATGAATGTGGTACTGGAGTTTTTATGGCCAGCCATTGGGACAGACATTTTTGTGGCAAATGTCGTCCGACTTACTGCTTAAATAAACCAGAAGACAGGGAATTATATATGAATTAATAAAAGAAATGAACTAACCTCTAAATAAAGAAAGCCACAGGATACAAAATCAACATATAAACATCTATAGCATTTTTTTTCCTGAGAAAAGGAGTTAGTTGGCTATTTTCACTATTGTACATCATCCACGGTATTAGAAAAACAAGGCATTATACATCAGTTTAGGTTCAATGTGTGGCTGGCAGCCAAATCCAGTCTCATATTCCATATTTTTTCTTGAGCTCGTCTCCTTTGTCGACGTAAGCTTTCATGGCATCTTCCCTGGAAGTCCCTTTCAGCTCATTCCAGGCATCCCACTTGGCCTTGCCTTTGAGGTCCAGCATCCCTGGTCAGTCTTAAGGCAGTAGCTTGAGCTCCTCACCTCCTCCGCAGGCTTCCAGGAGTCCTTGCAACTCCACTAGCATGTCTCAGGCTGCGTTGGAGAAAGCCGCTGAGGAGGTTAATGTCCCTCTTCATCCCCGGTAAATCATTTTTTTTAAATGCAGATTTTTAAAAATTATTATTTCTACCATGAGCAAGAGAGACAAGACAGAGAAATAGTATGCCCAACAAGGTCCTGATACTGTGATCCACCCCCAGCCTCCGCCAGCCGTGGATTATAGACTTGCATGTGTGTGCCCAGGCCACTCAGGGAGGTCCCTGGATGTGAAACCAGAACTTCCCATGTAGGTCAGCCTCCCGTTTTACTGCTGTAGTCCTTTCTCTGAAGTCTACTTTGTCCACAATTAATATTACCACTTCGACTTGCTTTATTAATGTTTGCATAGTAGACCTTATTCCATCCATTTACTTTTAACTCATTTCTTTCTTTATATTTAAAGTGAATCTTGTAGACAGCATATTATTGCCACTTGCTTTTCTCCTAATCTACTTTTTTCTCTTTTTATAAAAGAGTTATTTATTTATTTAATTCTACTTGTTATTATTATTTTTTAATTTGACCAGATAAAGACAGAGAGAGAGAGAGAAAGGGAAAACAAGAAAGCCAGCTGCCAGGTCCGGGTCCAAACCACGGTCGGCCATGTGGGAATTCAGCACCTTTAACCACCCTGCCACCTGCCGCCCCCTATTTTCTGTCTTTTAATTGGTTGTCTTTTTATTGAAAATAAAATCTTCCATCTTGTTTATTTTCTATTTTCACATCTGTACTTTTTTTCCTTTTTTCTTTCCTTACTTTGGGTTGATGTTTTGTCAGGTAAAATTTCTAGTCTCATGGGTGCTGAAAGTAGACAATGACAGTTTTTGCATCATACTGAGACAGATGATCACTCGTAGCACAGCATACAATGTGAGCATCTGCAGTCGTGTTGGTTCCTCAGCCCTGTGCTCAGCAGGTGACACATGGGCCCAGATGCAGGGCACACACACTGAGTCTGCGTTGTAGGTGAGGGACTCAGGCTCAGCATACTTGTCTCCTTTCTCTTTTTCTGTCTCTCTCTGGCAAGGACATGAATCCTAAGCATCATCTCCAGAAGCAGCTTATCTGGGTCAAATCCCAGCTCCATCACTCACGAACTCTGGTGCCTTAAGCACGTTTCTCCAGCCTCAGTATCTCAGTTTCTGTATTCCGGCACGGGTAGGGCTGAGACAGGGAGTTCTCCATTTCTCTGGCTTCTGCCGGGCCCTGGCAGCATCTTGCCCCCAGCCTCTTCGCCCGCTCCCCAGCACCCATAGTCACGTAAACAACTCCCCTTCTCCAGCTCTTGGCTCCTCGCCCAACAACTATAGCATTTTTATACACTAATAAAGAATGAACTTGGGACCAGCAATTGGCACAATGGCTATGTCGCTGGACTCTCATGTAAACTGTGGTTCAAGTCTTGGACCCTGTGGCTTGAGATCACACTGGGCGTGTGTGCGTGCATGCCCAAGATCCCTAGAGAAGAATGGAGGAGAAGGGGT